TCCCTGTTTCTCTGGCCACAAACCACTTATGTTCTGCTGCTGCTGCTGCTGCTGCACTGCCTGTCAGAGAGCTACTCAGCCTTGCCCTTTTATTAAGGGCTGGAACTGAGTGAAATGGCTTAATTCTGCATTTCCTTTACTGAGCGATAGATGCTTGAACATCATCAACTATCAGTCTGATGTGTTGTAGCTCAGACAGCCCTGACTGTCTGAGACTGAAGCTTCATGAACTCAAAATGTCAGCAGTTTGAGCTACAGTAGTTGATCTTTTGGATCAGACCGTACAAGTCCACCTCTGCTGACCACATGTATCTACGTGACTCTGGTGCTGCTTATCTCTTGTCCTTTCTTGGACCACTTAAATTCCATTCTCATCACCCTTTGACTCTTCCTCTTCCTCCTCAAACCATGACTTTCTCCATTCTTTTTGTTCCAACACATCACACATTCGACCTAGTCCTGGGTGGAGGTGGAGACCTGAGGGAACTCTATATGTTTACTTGCTAAGGTGGAGACCTGAGGGAACTCTATATGTCACTGAGAAAATGTGTGTTTGTGTCCTTCTGCAGCAGGAGAAGCCTAAGCTGATTGATCCTCTGGACTACGAGGCCGTCATTGCTGAGCTAACAGACGACCTGAAGGATGACCCTCTCAGAGATCTACTACTCTTCCCTGTCGATGATTTTACCGTGAGCCTTTTATTTTTCTCTGAAATTGACTGCTCTGTCCTGGCAGTGAATTTTTTGGATAAAGTCTTGTTGGATTCCCCTAAACTAACCTAAAATTACAGAAAATATTAATTTTTCTCTCAGGCTTTTTCACTTCCACAAGAGAGGAGAAGCCTCAAGTCCACAGTCCCTGAAGGGGCAGATTTGCAGTCAGACTGTCTGCTGGTCAGACAGGTGAGTGTGAACTGAACTGAATAAAAAAGAAGACAACTGTAATCCTAATGATAATTCTAATGCCTTAATCTTCTATGTCCAGGCCTGTCGGTTCTACAACTCTGACCTGAACCTGGTCGAGTTTAAATACGATGAATATGCTGGAGATTATCGACTGCTGCCAAGGTATTGAAAAAAACTCTTTGGTGATTATTTGTCTGATTTAAAGGGACAGCTCAGAGATTTTTTTGAATAAGAAGTTCTTAGTCTGGGAAGGACTTTTCAAACAGGCAACCATTCACTTTGCCACACCAAACCTCATTGAGAAAATCAGTGATTTTAGCTCAGAGAGACACAGTGGTTGTTGTTCAAATGTATTATTTTGTGACTTCACAGTTTAAATTATATCGCTCTGTGGCACAGTGGTTGACTTTCAGATTCCTGTGCAGGTAGATAAGATCAGTTTTACATAAAAGTATTGGCCAATCACACAAAATTAAGGAAAAAAACATGTCTTTTTTACTCAGTCTATAATATTTCTTCCTGGTCTGTCAGGTATGTTTTTACAAACCCTGAATTGATCAGTGTGTGATTCTGTCTTTTTCCCCCGTCCCCCCGCCTCCCCCTCCAGGAAACAGTTCAAAGCAGAGAAGCTTCCATCTCATTCATTTGAGATTGACTATGAAGACGTGGACAAAGACGAGGTCGGAAAATAGACAAATGCTTTCA